ATATATTTTTTTTTTTTCCCCCATTTCCCATAATTTACAATCTCAGTTGCAATATATACATACGATCAGTTTGGCCAGTTAATAGTACACATCTTGTATGTTCAAATATTATGTAAAATAATATAGTATATTTATTTGCAATCGTTTAATTGTAGAATATCTGCATTATTAAGATAATAATAATAATAATAATAAATGGCTGGAGATTTGGTCACAATTTTGTGTACAATATTTACCTTTATTCTTTTCCAGACTCTGTTGAACTTCTTGAGTTCTACTCTCATTCTCTGAGGTATCCTTCTCCTGCTTCTCTTGCACGCTACAATCGGATTTCTCCTTGGTCTCTCCTCTCCCTCCTACATGTGAAGTAATTCGTCCCATGCTGCGGAACTTTGAGAAGATGCTAGGCTGCTTCCCAGATGGCTTCAACCAGCCCAGCTTCCCTCTCCTTGTCCTCTTGCCCACCTCTTTTGGGGGACTGTCATTCTTCTCCTCCTCTGTAGTGCTCCTTCTGTCATTCTGTTGCTCTTTTTCCTCTTGCTCCTCAGTTCCATTCCTCTGGTCAGAACTCTCTGTGGTTATGTCGCTGGAGGACTTTCGTTTTGAGCAGTTCATAGGCATGTTTTCCTCATTTTTCTTTGATTTGCTTTGAGATTTTGGCTTTTTCTTAGCATTGCCTGCTTGTGTGTCGCTCTTCCTCTTTCCACTCAGCTGGCCATCAGAGCTACCATCATCCTCATGGTTAGACTCCCCCATTCCATTGCTCATTGTGCTGTCCTTCTGGTTGTCTGTTTGCTCTTTTTTAATATTGTCACAGGCCTCCTGGATGTTAGCAAGGATGCACTGCAGCACTTCCTGTGCATCATGCTGCAAGTAACCCTCATACATTGGATTAAGCTGCCTGCAATGGAGAAATCAAACAGGTTTGTTTGGAAACTCATTAAAGCCAAGGCAACAGTGAGAAAAACTCTGAGAGGTTTAAATGTCTTTTCGATGTTGTTGAATGATGCTCTGGCCCACTGCATTACCTGAGCGTGTTAAGCAGCTTGCGAGGTGGTGTGGCAAGCTCTTCGTCGCTGTATTTTTCTGAGTTAAGCAGAAAGCTAGATTGCAACTGTTCCACATAAGAAATGAGGCTGTGGAAACTACCCAGCAGCTCCATGGGAACAGGTAGGGTGTTCTCACCAGTGTCCCCCTGATAACATAAAAACATGCCATGTTTAACGCAATCAATTATAGTAAAGGCAACAATTTTAACATGACAAACTATTCTCTACATTTATTCAATTAGAAGCTAAATTTTAGAATGACTTTTTTCCCTAAATTGAAGCTATTAGTACTGATATATAGTTATGAGCATAATCAAGGCAAAGGAAAACGCTTTTTAAAAGATGAAATTTACCAACCTCATTTTTGGCACCATCTTCTCGCCGTTTGTCTTTCAGCTTAGCCAACTGACACAACGATTTGATGGCCTCTTTAAAACCAGGACAGTAATATAACACCTACAATTTGTAAGAAGGGTAAAACGTTTAGATGAGTGGGATCCAAACTACTGTAATGTAATATA